AAAGAAAGTCTGGTGGTGAAAAGGTTAATGGTCAACTCAAGTAGTGTGAAAACCCATGAGGAGGATTTCATTATCACAGACTTGATGCTGCTGGGATGAGCACTGTGATTTAAATTTATGTTTTTGTGAAGGAAACAGCACATTCTATGGTAACACAACACTTTTAGCTATCAGTGAAATAAGTGGAATGAAACCCAATGAATAACTGCAGTTACTATGGTTAAATTATAATATAACTGTTTCCAAACTCTTTCAACAACTGTAAAATACTTTCGCTATTTTTGCTGAAGGAATGATTCAGTGAAAATAAAATCCAGCGAATATACCTTTTTTCCTACATTTTACATTCAACTTGTCAAAAATCAGTGAAAAATAATTCCATACAAAACATGCAAAACGTCTTTTCAGCAAAAATTAATTCAATTTAAAATAAAGTATTTCACAGTATCACGCAAACACATAACAATATTCACTTGACTGGTGAGTACAGTCTGTTATATTTTATTTATTATGCAATGGTCATGTGATATGGATTCAATTGGTATGCAAATAGCAAAGGCTAAAGTTTTCTTACCTTTCATCTTCCATCACTGTTGGAAAAAAAGAAAGAATAGTTTTTATTATCAATGAACAGTTCAGTGTTTTTTATGGTGCTATTTTGAATGGTGGGAGGCACATCAGTGTGGGTGCGAAATTGACTTCATTGAAAATGGAACTATTTAGAGTCCCAATATTAAAAGTCTGCAGTCAATTCAACACACAAGAATGACAACTTTATGTTCCTTCCAACTACATGGATACTATTTTTCAAAATGGAGATGCCACAAGTCTGGCAGATATGTACTCAGTTCTCACTGCTGAGTGCACAGCTGACCCAAGAGTCAAACCAGCAATCTCTCCAATGCTGGGTGACCACACTAACCATTATTTAAACCATACATGTACATTAGGTCAGCTGATCACTTGAGTCTAACCAGCAATTTTGCTGATGATGGGTGGACACGATAATCATTTCGCCACACTTCAGGTCAGCTGATCACTGGAGTCTAACAAACAATCTCCCTGATGCTAATTTTAACAAAATTACGTTGAAACAAAGTCACGGAAAATATTATTTACTAGGTTGAATTCCACGGTAAAATTTATTGAAAATCCTTCCATCCAAAGTCCATTTCAATGAATAGCCATTAAGTCAAAAGTTAAATATATACGTATCTTTATTTATTAAATAAAGATACGTATTTTTAAATAAAGTATAAAGTACTTAAATTTTAAGTATCCAAATTCCAATGAATATTGTTTGACATAATTAAAAAAAAAAATTGTGTATAATTGCCAGATGTGAAATGACTTTTGGAGATCTAAAGGCAGGAAAAGTCTGACTTTATATCAGGTTGCGATAACCATTGAAAGGTTACATGTGGGGCACTTGTTGATCGCTTTCTCACATTTTGCCGTGTATTCATTGTGTTAGTTAAGATTATGTAATCCATTGTAATTAAAAATTGCTGGGTTTGTTTACATAGTGGAGTTAAAATACTTTTAATTCACAGGTGCCATTCATTAAACAAGGACACTGTTTTTAATCAATACAACTCAATGTAACAGGCTTCCTTGTTTCAGCAAAGTATTGACCCCACCCCCTGGCCTTGTATGTGAAAAATTTTAATTTTGTTGTAGATCCAGTTAGCATTGAAAACGGTAAATAATAGTTCACGGAGAAGAGGAAGTGTACAACACTGAATTGCATTGTTTTGATAAAATGGTCATTCAATGAATTGGTCTACTGATGAAATCTCATGATCTAATTCACAGCATCCACTACCGGTACTCAATTTACAGGTCTGCATTATTTTGTCATAACATTTGTCTGAATGACTATTCCATTGAAAGTCAGATACATCATTTATGTATTAAGTATCCAGAAACCAATCAAATGTTGGATGAATCACAGTCCCTCAACAGAAACTGTGGATGAATTGATGAAACTATTGGCATTACATATTTTTTTTTTAATTTTAACTCAAACCACCAAGATTCCAAAACACAATGATTACATGGAATATTTTGTAAAATCGTCACTCGACCAAATAAGTTTCGACAAAGACATTGTGTGCCAATATTTTATAGGACACTATCTAATTTTGAATAATGACAACAGAACATAGAACTCAACAATTAGAGAATTCTGCAGTCCCCCAGGATATTGATTGTGCAGTAATAGACTCACAAAAAGGTTATGCAATTATTTCTTGACAACCTGTTCAATTTATTGCCATCATTCAATTTAATACAGGTACTTGTGAACTTTCAAGTCTATTTACAGTGACAATTAATTTTGCTTGAAGAGAAAATAAACTGAAAACAGAATTCACAGATGACTTGCCTGGTGTAGTGAAATCAATACTATCAATGACAAAAGGTGTTTCTAGTTAAAGGAATGTAACTTAGAGGACTGCACCTTATTTGGTAACCTTTGAAAATGCCCAGAGCTTCAAATGAGTCATGAAAGCATATGCTTCAGTTAACACAAACATTAATACTTCAAGTTGCAGGTGTTAGTTCATAAAGGTGAAGAGAGTCACTTTTGTCAACGAAATCAATGTGATAATATTTGCCTACTCAGACACCTAGCTGGTACCAGCGTTTCATGTCTTTTGTAAACACACAATGGCTAAGTTACATGCACTCCTTAATATCAACAGGAAGTGTGTGTTCTCACCTTCAACAATGATTTCTGCTGCAGATGTTGCCTTTCCGGCAATGTTTGTAGCTTCACACATATACTCCCCATCATCGTCTTCATTCACTTCAGCAATTATAAGCGAGACTGAATCATCGTCTCCGAAATCCATGCTGTGATGTTTACTTTCTTTGATTTCTTTTCCCTCTTTCAGCCACCTGATATCAGGTTCAGGCTCACCAACCACAACACAGTCAAGTCGAGCAGCACTGCCTTCACATACCTCAATGTCTCTTAATTCCTGAGTAAATTTAGGTGCTGTATTCTTATTTTTTGAATCCATTTTGTCCTCTGTTTTAGGTTGTCTAGTCTTACGAAACACACCCTGAATTTTGCTGGCAGCTTTAGCAACTTCTGGATCTTTTAAATCAATGTCAATTTCCTCTTCTTGCTTTGCGCTGTCAAGTTTTCTGGCTTCCTCTTCTCGCTTGGCTTTCAACAGACCAGAAAAAGGTGTAGCAGACTTGTCACCTGACTTGTTGAGACGACCAAACATAGTCAGTGAGGCCATGCGTCCAATAGCTTTTACTGCATTGGCCGTTTTCTAGAAAACAATGGAATCAACAGTGTGTTATATACTAGAGGGTGTGTTAATATGCAACCTAGGCATGGTTAGGGTGCACTGACCTTAATCTCGGTATTAGAAGCCAATCTGGGGGTACCACTCAAGTATTCACTGGATATAAAGCAAATGTTCGAGGACAGTGCACTAACCTGTGATGATTCTGTCAGTGGAGCTGGGCAAGGGAATGCCCAATTCTATGGGTCAGACCACTATGCTAAAAGCCACCTTTTATCACCGTATGCTAATGAGTCTATTGTTTACTAATTGCATGAGTAATCAATGGAAAACTATTACAACTGACTTTCTATTGTAGAATGAGGAATGAATTGGTGGATCGTAATCAGACTCTCATTCAATTCTTTTGCAACAACTTGGTCTATTCTTTGACACAGCTCAAGGTACTTCAAGAACATTATTAGAGTTGACTGTACAACAATCCCAACTCATACAAGGTTGCACACATTCTCACCCATGCGTAAATAAACATATCTTATGCAGACGTGATCTCTAGCTACTGGAATCATGCCCAGGACATATTTCATACAATATGTCATTGTTACACAGTCAACACCAACATTGTCTGAACAATGTTTTTTTTAAATTATGATCAGTTTAATCTATAAAAAAACATAATCCAAATGTTATAATTATGTAGTTATAGATTTGATGCAATTATTCAAATTGTTATTTCCAGTCACTAATTTTTATGAATGGTTTTTGACATGGCCTGGACCATTTGGTTATTGATACTTGTCACGGTAAATTATCTAGATTTTTCTGTATGTGTTCAACTAATTGTTGCCTCGAGGACACACCATTATAAAAGAACTGTGAGGTGAAAGTATTTTTTTTATTTTCTAGTCAATTTGTTAATTCTGTACTCTCTGGTCTCTTGGGAAATCGACACTACAACCATATGTTTACATGCCTCAAGTGATACTGTAAAATACTTTATTTCAGCTGAAAGTAATTTTCGTTGAAAAGACACTTTTTGGGTGTTTTCTATGGAATTTATTTTCACTTATTTTTGACGAGTTGAATGTAAAATATAGGAAAAAAGGTATATTCACTGGATTTTATTTTAACTCAGCTGAATCATTCCTTCAGCAAAAATAGCGAAAATTAGTTGCAAGCGAAAATAAAGTATTTTACAGTAACAGCATAGTGGAGCAAATAAGTTTTTGAAATTGTTTGTATATGAAACAAAAAATCAAAATAATAGAAAATCACTGTGAAATATTTATTGTTTTGCCTAGATTGCATTCTCACTAAAGGGTAAATCAGAAATAAAATCTAGCAAAAAAAAAACTTGTTCACAACAGCAAAAAAGTAATTCCTGTTAAAAAAGTGTAATCCACACAGCATCTTGCAACTAAACCAGAAAGCATGGGTCTGTCAAACAGTTGATTCAACATTTTTATGCATTTTTCTATAATTTATTCAATGATTTTGGGTCAAATAGACATAATTTTTGATTACCGGGTAGCTATTGGGTATTGATGTTAAAATAAAAAAAAAAATGGTAAAAATACTGGGGGATTATTTTGTGAATGTTGACTTTGTGTTAAAAACACATAACCAACAAGCCTTCTACATATCTAACCCCAGAACTTATTTTGGTTTGTCCCTAATAGAGGACAAACTACCCATTGATATGGCACCGACATAGCACAAAGGCTGCATTGGAAACCCATTTCAAAGTTGAATGAAGTACTAGCTATAAAAATGAGTAAATATTAAGTTAGCCTTCTTGAGAATGACTTGTATAAAAATATGATATTAAGGGTTGACCATTAGCAGCTGGGAGGGGGTGAATTGGAAAGAAATATTTGCACAGGAAAAAAATCCTGCAAAGATCAATAACTTTCTGCATTCCTAACTCTCAGATAAAAAATATTCTGCTTAGTGTCAAAAATAATTTACACCAAATTTACAGCAAAACTAAGTGAAAGAAAAGAAAATATTTTGTACAGTTTTTCTGCCATTGCCTCACCCAGAGTATCTAATGGTCCATCCCTTATTGTCTTTTGTGTTAGCTGAATGATATTGATCTCTTTTGAAATATGATCCAGATAAAGGTTGGTTTCTGTGTCAAGAGCAATATTAGAAGTGTAAGATCCTCTTACAAATCACCCTGGCAACGGTTTTTATCAATTGACACTTCCCACTTGCCCACCAATGTCGATATTAAATAAATCATGTTTGAGACAGCCGGAAATGTGTAAATCATTACCTGCCATCTTCGTCTGGCTAACCATTTTTTCAATTTGATAGTGGAAAGTTTGTTGGCTTTCATTGTCTTTGTATCTTGTCTTAGCCATATATGTCGAATGCACTGCTCCACGGTGTTACGTTCACTGTGAATGAAGCAAAATAATAAGTTATTCCCACAATCAATGTATAGCTGCAAAATTGATTCACGATTGACAGTGGCACATTTGAAAAAAATGCTTACAGCAAATTTGTGTTCAGTATCAGTTCTGTTTTACCATTAAATTTTGTTAAAATAAAAAGCTTATTTTGATATACCGTATATATTAATTCTATTAAAACCTCATCATTAGATCATTAAAATATGACTTAATTGGATCACAGACACACCTTTATCATTTGTGTAAGTTTATAGGCTACAAATAAAGCAAATATGGTAGATATTTCTTCCACAATTTAATGTTGATTGGAAACCACCTGTTGAGCATCGATTCTTTGTACAATACATGTACTGTTGGCCAAGAATAATTTCCCTACTACGTATCTACAATATCAACTTATTGCCCCTAGCAATAGCTGTTGCCATGGTAATCTTATATATTCAATTCATGCTTGCTGCCAGGCATGGGCGGAAATATTGGCGATTGTTTACTTTTATTGGCACACTCTTTATACGTAGTTGAAGATGTCAATCAATTCAGGAATGAACATTCATGGCTTAATGATGGAAGCACTATAAGTTTATTTTGTTTTAATATTTTTATATATTATTTACGTTTTCATCGAGTTGAGTAAATCCGGTGAAGATATGGTTTTTTTTTTCATCAAATTTAGTATAAGTACTTGAGGTGTTACATACCAAATCATTAAATTGAGGTAAAAATTTATGAATGAAAAGGTAAATTGGCGAATATCAATTAAATTATTAATTACATACAACTTCATCAAACAACACATCAAATTATTGTTTTCAATAAAAAACAATTCAAACTAGAATAAAGAAGGTTATATGGTATATCTAGAAACGAATGTACTAGTTAAAGTATGTGGTCTGACTGATTTAACAAACAATACAGAAAGGTAAAATGTTTTGTATGTAAAAATCACCTTTTTTCTTTAATCAAAAGCATTTCAATAAAGTTCTTGGCGTCATCAGTTATTTCATCAAATGATTCATCATCAAAGTCCCATTCAGCTCGGGTAACATTGGTCAAAGTCTCTGCATCAGTATCTCCCATAAACGGAGATAAGCCACTCAACAAAACGTAACAAATAACGCCAACGCTCCACATATCAGTCGCAAAGTTTAACGATTCAAAATTGATGACTTCCGGAGCAACAAATTCTGGAGTACCGACCATTTCTTTGAGGGTGTCTTTAGGGTTAAACTTCCGGGCTAGTCCAAAGTCTATTAATTTTATTTGGTTACTGTTTTTACTGATGCACAAGATGTTTTCAGGCTTCAAATCAAGATGCAGTATTCCTTGTTGATGCATGTACCCAACACCTTCACAAATCTGTCGCATAAATATGATGACTTCTTTCTCAGTAAGTTCAAAATCATCATCAATTACTCTGTCAAACAACTCTCCACCGGAAACACTGTTGAAAAAATATAAGTTGCAATATTAAATTATTTTTAAAAACATGTGCATGTCTCCAGTCATTTCATGCCACTTTAACTTGATCAGCTTTTAAATATTCACGCAATATTTGGATAGGAAGCAGACTTGACAAACAAATGCAATTGAATTGAAGACATCAATACATTCCTTATCATCAATGGGTCATTTATTCACGCCTGAGTATTTGTATAGTGGGGACCACTTGAAAAATGAATGATCGATGCTTTAAAAATCCCCCCTCCCCTCAGTCTGCCTCTACTGACTCAAACCAAACTCTTGCAGTTATAGCCATGATGATTCTACCACAATTTAGAAGCATAACTATTCATTTACATTTAATATACACATTTAATTTAACAAGTACTTTACTTTTATACTTTCTTTTTTATATGCTCATTTTCCGGTTTCACGTCTACTTGCTCATAATGTTTATGCAGTTTATGTTACCTATATTGTGCAATTTTTTTAACCACTGTTTAAAGAGCGGTGGCTGTTGCGCAGTGCGTGTTCAAATTTCATGTAAACGAAAATGTATTTTACATGTGTTGTGTACATCACTATGAGTCCCATATTGAACAGGACATGGTGCGACAACCACCGCTCCTTAATACTCTGTTTATAATCTATTTATGAATAGCTATAAACTGATTGATTACCCAAGAGACAAAATTTTCTTAATTTTGTGAGTCAGTGAACATTTGTAGCAGTTTTGGGGTTCTACGACACGAAGTGGCAGTTTACTCTGGGGTTCTTTGACACAAAGTGGCAGTGATTTTTCCTCTTCATGAATGGCATAAAATTTGTTGTTGTGATTAGTTCTTGTGCTTGCAAACTATTAATTGTCCCTCGTCATCTTCACTCCCATCCTTAAACACAGCTGATTGTGACCTTTAAAACCACAACAATGAACTTGACCTGAACTTGAAATTAAATCAGATAATTAGAATGCCTAAATACTTTTTAACAGGCTGACAACAAACTGAGCGCTGTTTTTCTCATGTTCACAACAATGAACCCTTTATCTGTGAATGGGTCAGTGTCCAATTCTAAGTGTTTTCTTTTTTTGAATACCAGCACAATACATATAGAACCGTAGACCACATTGAGAAGTATACTTCAGTTCATTGCTATAGAGTAACAGCACTTTAGATTTCAAATGCCGCAATCTAGATGAACAATGAGGGAAAATTCCAACACAGAAACTCTTACTTTTACTGAAGCCTAGATTCAAATAAAGTTTGTTTTATTCAGTCCCTAGGGACAGGATTAGAGGCTGAGTGGGTGAACTGCTGAACCTTTTGTAAACTATGTACTTTAGGTTTGGATTTAAAAAGAACATATGCCATGCTAGAAGTGGGAGGTCAGAGGAATCACAGTTTTCACCAGAATATCATCGCTCTTGTTTTGTTATGATTGAAAGAACTGTATACTGGTTTCAATAGGTTTTCACATGCACTGTTTAATAGGTTTAAGCAGGAGAATTGGTTCATCCAAAACAAGGCAAACATAGGACTTTTGAGAATTTCCAGATACTAGTATTTGCAGTTTTAAACAACAGTTTTAATATTTTATGCAGTATATACCATAGTCAATGGTTAAATTTTTTTCTGCACATAACATTGCTCATGGACAAAGTTTTTATGGATTTTTTCCTCCCAGATAAAAACAAGCAGCTTCTCATCTCCTATAGTTCTGCTGTTAGTGATACACATTTTGCAATCAATCCGTATACTGTAAAATACTTTATTTGCGCTTGGAATTATTTTGCTGAAGGAATGATTCAGTGAAAATAAAATCCAGTGAATATACCTTTTTTCCTATACATTCAACTTATCAAAAATCAGTGAAAATAAATTCCATAAAAGCCATTTTATCAAGAGTACTGAAGTTGATAATAACATTTTTTATCAAACATGACAAAAATATTCTTCAAAAATTGAATTAATGACCAAATAAGAGAGACAATAGGGAAGCTCTACTACAATCTGATTTGCAGTTTTCAAAAAGAAAGTTGAATATATAACGTTTTTACCAAAAATAATATCATCATGAAATGCTCAAAACTGAGAGAGAACCAACCAAGGTCCATTTGTTCCCACACAGTTGACAGTTTTTAAGAATCAGTAATGTGCTCTGCTCTGTTAACTGAGTGAAAATGAGTCTAGAGTAGCCAATTTTTTTGGTGAGATTTAACAGTTACAGTGATTGTACCACAATGATTTCAATATGAGTCCCATATTTTTTATTTTTATTTATTTTTTTATTAGACGCATAAAATCCTTAGGAAAGGATAAAAAGGGTCTTACAGAAAGAAATTAAAAAAAAAACTACAATCTAAAAAAGAAAACAAAAAATAAAAACTTTTCTAAAAAAAAATAAAACAAGTCAAAAACAAAAAAGACAATTTGCAGCCAATGGTGAATACAGAATATGGAATGAACACAAAATGTGGCCTAATACACTGATAGTTGTTGCTGTTTTGTTCCATAGCTGTTTTTTAAGAAGACAGCTAAGGCTGGTGCTAGAGTATGGTTTGCCATAATCAAAATGATTATCATACGAAATCATGCGATAATGACAACGCATGTAAAATACATTGTTTGTTTACACAAAATTTAAATGCTTTATCTTTAACCTAAATAAAAATGCAAACATCTTTCAACTAAATTCATTCGAAGTTGATGTAACTGTAAACTGATAACTTCAGCACTAAAAATTATATGAATGTCACCAAGACTACTTGTCATAAGCACCCAGGTGGGAATTTAACTCCTGCAACAATTTGCTATCACCCCACTCTAAAATTTTGCATAAGTGCGTCTCTCACAAAATCAAAGCGGTTTACAGTGAGTTTTGTTTGTTTGTATAAGGCTCAAAGTTATCTAAGTTACCAGTCATCAAACACTGATCACAAACTACAATCTCTGCATCTAGCATTTAGTAAAATATACACCCTACTCAGATTACTGGTTTACTGAATGCCACCAATTCTTTGATTAATAGTAGTTGTTGCTATGGTAACAACATTATACGTTATTTCATCTAAACGTGCGTGGGAAAATACATTAAACAAACAATGTTTGAGTACGTAGGTAATTCTGCGCGTTCTAGTTCTTTGGATAATGGTAGGTGTACCGTAAGAGTGCAATTTATTGAGACCCTACCCAGGGTATTCAGAAGCAACTGAATATACAAGCAGATTTCCACTTCATCAATAACACCTGGTTATGGGATTTCTCAAATAGAAAAGAATTCCAATTGTGTAACATTCCCCTGACATAGAAGTAATCAACTGCAAAAAAAAATTACTGATAAAGTCACGATTCCAGCATCATGAGGATGTCAGATGTTGATGCAAAAATATGAAGATTGAAAAGAAATGTCACTTTCATGATCTCAAAAAGATATACATCCTGGAACTTTTGATGGTATGACATCACAATCCTGCACAATTGGGGCATTTTAATGTGTTTATAACAGTAACTTTTTACTCAAGCATCTGAAACTGTGATGAAATATCAATAAAATAAATTAATTTTTGATTTTTATACCGATGAGAGTACCAGAATGTGC